CATCTGTATATCTTCTTTGGTGAGACACCAGTTCAGGTTTTTTGACCTTTTTTTATTGCATTGTTTATTTATTGTTGAGTTTTAAGAGTTCTTTGTATATTTTGAATAATAGTTCTTTATCAGATATGTATTTTGCAAATATTTTCTCCCAGTCTGTGGTTTGTCTTCTCATAATCTCAAAATGTCTTTCACAGAGCAGTTGTTTTAAATTTTAATAAAATCTAGTTTATCAATTATTTTTTTTATGGGTTATACCCTTGGTGCTGTAGCTAAAAAGTTATTGCGAAACCCAAGGTCATCTAGATTTTCTATGTTAACTTCTAGCAGCTTTATAGTTTTGCAGTTACATTTAGGTATTTGATCCATTTTGAGTTAATTCTTGTGATCTCTGTAAGGTATGTGTCTAGATTCATGTTTTCGCAGGTGGATATCCAGTTGTTTCAGCACCATTTTTTGAAAAGACTATCTTTTATATTACAACCTTGCTATAATCATTTATTAATTTTTGTTGTTGTTGTTGTTGATTTTTCAGATTTTCTACACAATTGTGCCACCTGCAGACAGTTTTATTTCTTCCTTCCTAATCTGTATACTTTTTATTTCTTTTTCTTGTCTTAGTGCATTAGCCAGCACTTCCAGTATGTTAAAAAGGAGTGGTGAAAGGGGACATCTTGTCTTGTACCCTTAGTGGGAAAACTTTGGTGAATTTCTCACCATTAAGTATGATGTCAACTGTAGCTTTTTTGGTAGATATTAAGTTGAAAAAAATTCACTCTATTTTTAGTTTACTGAGAGTTATTTATCATGAATGGATTCTGGATTTTGTCAAATGCTTTTTCTGCATCTATTGATATGACTGTGTGGGAGGATTATTTATTTTTTGCTTATTGATATAATAGATATAGTATTTTTTTTTTAATATTTAACAAGCCTTACATATCTGTAAATTCTACTTGGTTGTGGAATATAACTCTTTTCATACATGGTTAGATTCAGTTTGCTAATATTTTGCTAAGGATTTGTGCATCTATGTTCATGAGAAATATTTGTCTCTAGTTTTCTTGTAATGCCTTTGTCTGGTTTTGGTATTAGGGTAATGCTGGTCTCATAGAATGAGTTAGCAAGTATCCCTTCTGCTTCTTCCTTCTGAGATTGTAGATAATTGATTTGCTATTATTTCTTCCTTAAGTATAATTCACCAGTGAATAAATCTGGGCCTGATGCTCTCTGTTTTGGAGGGTTATTATTGATTCAATTTCTTTAATAAATATAGATCTACTCAAATTGTTTATTTCTTCTTGTATGAGCTGTGGCAGATCATCTTTCAAAACACTGGTCTATTTCATCAATTATCAAATTTGTGAGCATAAGGGCTGTTCATAGTATTCTTTTATTATCCTTTTAATGTCTGTAAGATCTAGTGATATCCTTTTATTTCTGATGTTAATAATTTGCGTCTTTTTTTTCTTAGTCTAGTGAGAGGTTATGATTTTATTGATCTTTTCAGAGAACGAGCTTTTGGTTTCATTGACTTTTTTTTTGTTTCATTGATTTCTGCTCCAACCATTACTTTTCTTCTGGTTACTTTGGTTTTAATTTGCTTTTCTTTTTCTAATTTCCTAAGGTAGTGTAGATGATTGATTTTAGATCTTTCTTCTTTTTAATATATGCGTTCACTGCTATAAATTTCTAAGCACTGCTTTCAATGACCCCACAAACACTGATAAGTTGTATATTCATTTTTACTTAGTTCAAAATATTTTTAAATTTCTCTTGAGATTTCTTCTTTTACCCATGTTACTTATAAGTGCTTTTATAAGAGATATGACAACTAAATACAACCAATGATTTTAGACTGGATTCTTTTGCTGTAAGAAACGTTATTGGAAATATTGGTTAAACTTAAATGAGATCAGTGAATTAAATGGTATTTTATGTATTAATGTTAATTTCCTGATTTTGATAATTGCATTGAGGTGGTGAAAGACCACGTATGTCCTTGTCTGTAAGAATTACACGGTATTCAAGAATGAGGCATCACACTGGCAACTTACAAATGGTTCAGGAAAAATGTTCTGTAAATTCAGCAAACTTTTCTGTAAGTTTGTTTCAAAATAAAAATTGTTTATTAGGAAAAATGCAATTGTGATAATTTTCTCCGCAGTCTGGAGCTCAAGAGTTCATGGTGTGCCAAATTTCTCCTTCCTCTTGCAATAAACATTTAATCGAATGAGGATAGCATGATTGAAATGGAGTTCTCTAAGACAAACACTCTTTCTGAAGGGTCAGATAGCAAATATTTTAGACTTTGAGGGACAGACTCTCTTGCAACAATTCAATTCTGCTGTTGCAGTAAAAAAACAGTCATAAACAATACATAATCTAGTGTGGCTATGTTCCAATAAAACTATTAATGGACACTAAAATTTCAATTTCATACAATTTTCATATATCACAAAATATTTTTTCCCAACTTAAAAATGTTAAACCCATCCTTAGCTCATAGGTTATAAAAAACAGGTAGATTTGGCCAATGGGTTTTAGTTTGCCAACCTCTGCTTTAGATTTTAAAATGGTCTTTACATGCCACATCATTGAATGGATTATTAGCAAATAATCTGTATGATCATTATACATTGGAGGGAAGAATTAGAGTTCTATGCATAGTCTATACAAGGACAGGTGAATGTTACAGAATCAATGGTTCCTGCTTTTTAAAACTGATGACCCATTCTGGCTCCAGTTACACACATTTCTTCAGTCAGATTGTGCCTATATCCAAGCCCATGCCAGCACACAAATGAAACCCCCGCCCTACCGAGGGTTTGAGATCAGGTGACGCTCACTTGGTGTTAAAAAATAAGCAATTTGTTTCCAAAGGTTTTGACTTGAAAATGTTCTCCTTACCTTGGTATAACGAAGGGAGCCGGTAATTGTTTCTACAGTTTTTATCTAGCACGAGTCACACCCTGGGTTTAAGAAGAAGGGCTAGAAATAATATTGCATGATTACATTTCAGAAGTTGAGAGACTAATGGGATAAATTAGAAAGATGAAGAGTGGAACCTAAAACAATAGTTACTTGGGAAAGAGAATGAAAAAAACTGATAAAGCTCACTAATTATATGTTAGTTGAATCTAACAAACTACTGTCTTACTAAACAAAAACAGGTAATACAATAGTCCCCTCTTATCCTGAGGGGATATATTCCAAGACCTTGACTGGATGCCTGAAACTACAGATAGTACTGAACCCTATATATACTATGTTTTTTCCTATACATATCTACCTATGATAAAGTTTAATTTATAAGTTAGGCAGAGTAAGAGATGAATATCAACTAATAAAACAGAACAGTTATAACAACATACTGTAAGTTATGTGAATATGGTCTCTCTCAAAATATCTTATTTCACAGAAGATTCATTCTTACCATAGATCTTAGCAACCTAGCATACGACTTTTTCTTTCCTTATTAAGTCGAAAATTTTCACCTTTTCCCTTAAAGGAAGTGCTTCATAGTTTCTCTTTAGCACATCCAAATTGCCAGCATCACTACTCTTGTGCTTTGAGACCATTACTAAGCAAAGTAAAAGTGACTTGAATGCAAGCACTGCAATACCACAATAGTCCATCTGATACCCAGGATGGCTACTAAGTGACAAACGGGCCAGGAACAGAGCGTATTCGGTGTGGAGACTCCAGAACAAAGGGGTGATTCACATCCCTGGTGGAACAGAGCAGGTCACGTAAGATTTCATCACACTATTTAGAACAACACGCAATTTAAAACTTGTGAATTGTTTCTGGAATTTTTCATTTAATATTTTCGGACCATGATTGACCATGGGGAACTGAAACAGTGGATAATGGGGACTGCTGTATGTGAGTGGCAGCTAATTTGTGAAGAATTCTAAGACATTTGATGTCTAAAAATCTTACATCCACCTAAACTTAAAGATACAGAATTCTCTTCTAAATATTCATTGAGACATTCATTTGAATAAACATTTTATCTTTTTTTCCAACATCTCGGCAATATATTGAAAAGGGTGTAATTAGCATATAACTGGAAGATACCTATCATTTTTATCTTGGTAGTTATTAAATCTATAAGCATAAAGACCATTGTGATTTTTATAAACTCAGTGAGTTTTTTTATAAGCCTTCATAAAGGTTTTAAAAATCAGAGTTTTTCCAAAAGAAACTTACTCTAAAAGTTATATTGTTGAAGTAATTTAAAGTATTGTCCTAAGATGCTATGTCCCCTTTCATGCAACATCAAACCACCATCTCTTGGACATCGGACTTATTACTCAGGTTGAAAAGAGCAGTTCTGAGCTGGGGAAGCATATGGTAGTGGCTTCACATGAGTCCAGAAGACCCTGTGACGGGGAAATAAAGGAGGTCACAAGAAAGGCACCATGCAACACAAACTGGAAGACTTGAACAAGAGAAATAGAGCTGACCAGAACCACACTTTACTACTGATTGAGAATGATTTATTAAGGTCCAATTAGTATGTTTTTAATTTCAAATAGTCCATATCTCCTTCAGAATACATGCACATGAGTAAAAGTCCAAGTTCATTTCTTTTACTTCCGATATAAAATGTTCTGCATTTTGTATAAAGTACGTGCAAACATCTTTTTGTCAACTGGTTCCCCATATTCTTTTTACTTTGGGCACTTCAGAAGTCTGCCCTCTGCTCAGATGGTGACCACGCACTGACTTCCTCCTTCCTAAACAACCATTCTTCTTCTGGACATCTTTCTCTTAAACGTACTCCTGACTTTCTCATACCTGCTTCCTGACTGTCACTTTACTGGTTACTTATTACAACAAACTGGTACGATAACTGGTTTACCTAGACAATGAATGAAACAGGTATCACCTGATATGCCAGCAGTCTACCTGGGGTGATTCTAAGGGAATACCCAATATCCGGTCAGATACTGACACTCAACCAATTTGCTATAGAAAGGTCCCTAACTATTAAATATGAAGACTTTTTATTTACTTGGCATGTTTGGTCTCCGCATTTTCTTGAGTTCTACATTACAGTTGTGGCTACTAAGAGCTGAATAACTGGTCGCTCAAACAAAATTTGGAATTGCTAGTCATTAATTAGGGTGTCCTGCTTATTTATGACAGTTGACTATTTCTAGTCCATGTTGTTATATAAAAAAGTACTCTAAACTAACCATTGCATTTCCTTTGTAAAAAAGTAATTTAACTGGCTTTCCTCACAATTGTCACCCATGAGGTGCAAAGCAGGAAGTCCATTTTTATAAAAGGTACAAGCATAAAAAGACATTTCACATTTAAAAAAAAAAAATCCTTCATGGGAACATGTGATAAGTAAATAATCAATTATATGGACAAAGTTTTATATACACAAAATTTTTGTAACATCATTTATAATGATGAAAATTAGAAATGACCTAAGTAGTCAACAATATGGAAATAGTTAAATAAACTGAGTTGCACCCATTAAGTGGAATATTGTATAGCCATTAAAATTATGTTTTTGTAAAATTTTTAACGCCATAGGAAAATGTGGCAATTCTGCAGTGGGGAAAAAAAAACTGGTTATGAAATTGTTTACAGTATACTCCCAATTATATAAAAACGTATATAAAATACATATAGGCATACACAGGGGGAAAAGCTGTTAACAGCATTTACTTCTGAGTTGTGATATCAGTAATTATTTTTTGTTTTATACATATCTGCATTTTTCAAGTTTTCTACAATGACTATGTATTATTTTATAATACAGAAAGCACAGGCTATTAAAAATTCCTCCAATGTACTGATAATTAGAATGTATTTGGGTATTATAAATATGTGAGAACAATATTACTGTGCTTCATCTTCTATGAATTTTTTAGAGTACACATTATTTTGGTAATAAACTTACATCCCCTTTTTGTTTTACATAACACTTTAATAAAAAGAAAATATTGTGATTAGAGTATTATTTGTTTCATAACCTAAACAAATACCAGCTTTGACATCTAGGTTCTTCTATTTCCTAGAAGATTTAAAATTAATACCCTTTTATCTTTTTAAGTAAGGCATATTGCATACATACATTACATGCATGCTTTCTAAAAAAATAATTCTAATTTACAGTTTTCCTACACAAGGAAAAAAATGAAGTTATGGTGGTTTAAAAACAGTCTATAATCTTATCCATCACAAGCACGCTGATAGGCATAAACATGTTTATTAAATGAAATGTATCCTTTAAAAAGAAAAAAAGGGAAGCCTGTATGTAAATGATGTTGTGGATTCAATTAGTCAGAATTTATTCTGACTTGCACCAAACCACACAAAATCTTTTGAAGTCTAGTTAGTGTAGTCTATCTAAATGGACACTCCAGAGTCTGTTTACGAATTCCGTTACAAGATCGCCACTTTCTACTTTCAAAAAGAATGGGGATCCAGACGAGGGCTGTCACATAAGCTAATTTTCAACATGTATCAAGTCTTGCTGGGTTTAGGAACAAATACTGCCATCGGTTAGTGTTTAAGTACATGAGTTTGCTTTTCCTCTGTCTCTCGCACCCCACACCTTGCCCCAGCATTTGGGTAGCGGGAGGCGCTTCATCCCTCAATAAGATGACGGCCGGTTTCTCATCTTCTTTTGCTCTCTAAACCACAGAGTGGTCATTGCTGTGAACTCCGGCCAAGATGGTGTGGTTGAGGGAAGAAGCTGAGCGGTCTGAGCCTTCTGTGGGGCCGCTGGTGTTCTCACTGCGCTGGCAGCAGAGGATCTGTCTGAAGGTGGCGCTCATCTCCTTGTCCCGGTAGGAGTAGATGATGGGGTTCATGGCAGAGTTGAACTCAGCGAGCAGAAGGAAGAATTTCTCATAGGCCAGAACATCACACTGTGGACAGCACACGTCCAGAAGTAGTAAGACCAGTCCAGGGGTCCAGCAGATGATAAAGGCACCTACAAGAACAGGGATAGGGGTCAGGAGGATTTAAAAAAGAACCAAAAAAATATAATTATGAAGCGTGAAGCAAGTAACAATAAAGTGAAATGATTTCAGTTCAAAATAAAAATACGGAGATTCGAAGCCACCAGATCACCATTTGAAATAAAATGTTCATTTTCTGAAATAATCAGAGACAGTTTTAACGATGATAAAATAATCGATTTAATAAAATCTCAATTCAGACCCTACTAAAATTGAGCACTTATGAGACACTGATGACGATTATTTTGAGCAAAACAGAGTATGCTAAGCAATTGAGATATGAAAAACTGCATTCAGAGTACATAGCTGGATGGTAATAAAGATAAGGTTTTAAATAGCATAAGATTGTTTTCAGGCAAAAAAGATAAGCACTGTGACAAAGGTCCTTTAATGTTTAGTTGAGGCACCGTTTCTGGATTCAGGTGACCGGGCTCAAATCCTTGCTCTATCGTTTAATAAACTGGGTGAACTCTGGCAAACTACTTTTGTGCCTCAGTTTTCTCATATGAAAAATAGAAATGATTATATTTATCTCATTAGGTTTGTTTCAAAGGATTAAAGAAGTGCCAAGAAAATAATCACTCGGTATATCTTAACAGTAATAACAATAATATTATTATCTGCTCAATAGCATGGGCCTCTTTGGAAATAGCAATTCCCAACGATAGGACAGATGTATGTTGACTTTTATTTTTATTCAACATTGTTTAAATGGTCCTTTTCTTTTTGCTTTACAAATATTAACTCATTTAATCAGCACAACAGCTATATGAGAGAGAAACTATTATCCCATCATGCAGTTGAAGAAACTGAGACTCAGAAAAGTTAAATAACTTGCTCGAGGCCATAGTACTGGAAAGTGGCAGAGAGGAGGTAAACTCCAGAGTTTCTGCTCTTAGAGGCTGGCTCTAGAGTCCACATGCCAGAAAATACTGTGTTATACTCCCGTTTCTTGAAATAATTAAATATTTTAAACCAAAGTTCATGCTTTAAATGTTTTACTAATTTAGATGAACTTTGTTCTTCTTCCCCAACTATTCATTAAGATTTGGCTGTAACTATAAAAGGAATGGAAATATATTCTTAATCCAGCTTATTTAGTTCCTAACATCACTCGCTTGTCTCCCAATAATGTTATTTATTGTGAAATAACATTAAAAGCTACCACCATGTTATCCCAGAATGATCTGGGATTTTGGGCTAAAAGAACATGAGCCAATAGATCTGGTGAGCACCATCATGTCCCATTACATCTCGCCCTGTATGTATAATTAGGCTACACAATGAGCAGACGGCAAATAGAGATGATCCCAGGAGAGCATTTGAATCTTTAGATTAAATGGCACTAGCCTAGGTTAGACACAGGCTTGGACTAAGGTGGTGGATCTGGACTAGCCTCAGGGAACGAGTTTTGCAAAGTGTAAACAAACAAGATTCAGTCTCCAAACGGCCCAGTTTCGAATGTGAGCTTTCTTTCTTTTCTTTTCTTTTTTTTCTTTTGAACCTTTTCAGCATGAAAATGAAAATAAAGAAAGGAGAAAAGTACCCCCATAAAGCTCCTTGTTCTGAAACGCAAATGTGTATTGGTTTTAAACTGCTGTTCACTTTGAAGACTATCCAAGGTGCTTCATTTTCTAATAAACACAATACCTTAGATTTTTTTGTAGAGGAAAAAAAAAACATTTCAAATATCAAGAGATAATAGTCGAGAAGCTATTTGAACTTCAAGTAAAAACGTTAATAAAGCATTTATCCCATGTCCTTGAATTTCCTTGCTTGAAAATCACTCAGAAAGCTAAACATACAGGAAAATCAAAGGAATGCCTCTTGAGTTTCAGAAATAATACATTATTCATTGAGAAGCCAGGAAGGGAATTATTCTCAGGGTGGAAAATGCTTGGATGGAAAATGCATGGTCCCATTATTCCATTTGCTTGGAAACTAAAAACATGCAGGCCCTTCATGAATGGCTGAGCATGCTTCCAAGTTTCCTTTCCCTTTTCTTTTATCAAAGCTCTAATTGAACCCAAATTCAGAACTTGATTAGATACCAGCAACATGCATCTCAACAGATTTATTTTAAATAAAATGACCTTCTGCTCCTTCCAGGCAGCAGAAGGGAACATTCTTATTCTCGTGGACTTTTTCAAACTGCATGGCTGTTCAAAAGTGACAAATTTTTTTTTTAAAAAGTCATTTGTTGTTTATAATTTCTTTTAATTTTTAAATTGAAAAAGAACAAAATTTTTTCAGTCAGAGGCTCAGAAGCTAGTCCAATGAGTCTAACTTTTAAAAGACCAAAAAATGCAAGGAGCCTTATGACATTAGAGACAGGAAGTAGGAACACCACGGCCTGACACAGGGGTTAATATACATGGACGCTTCATTGAGGAATTCAAACTCCTCTTCCTTTCTTCACTGAAAGGAACTGTTTTTAGTACTATGATCAGGCTACACCACGCAGTCCCAAAACTGCATTTGGATCTTCAAGGCTCGATGGAATAATTTAAGGGACTCACAATACAGGCCTCAAAAATTAATATCTAAACCCAATCATACACAGTTTTCTCTTCTTCCTTCCCTTCTCTTTCATAGCAGTGTCATGGATCAAAATGACCAAAAGATGATGGACTACATAAGTGGAAAATGGGGCCTGGAAAATTCCAAGGTAATTAGGCTTCTACACAACAGTGAGCGAATATTATGAAATTAAGTTTGTTCAAGTTATGGATTAACCAACGAGCTCCGAAAAAGAAAAACTACACCCAAGCCCCTTTAGTGGTAAGTAGCTAACCACAGAATTTAAGATGTACATCGCAGACCTCATCAACACAATCTATATAGACTCAACTGCATACCTATAAGTCATATTGATAATAGTAAAAAGAACCTCCATCACCGCATCTGTAAAATGGAAAAGTAATAGCTCCCTGTCTACTCCATAGGGTTTGGTGAGGCTCAAACTGAGATACAACATGTAAAAGCTCTCCACGCACTGCACATCTACATGACCACACTGCCTAGTGTGGGTAGTGGGCAGTGTAATCTGTGCAGACTGGTGTAGCACAGTTACCAGGGCACATTTCCTCCAGGGAAGAACATGGGAGCACATTTTGGACCATAGAGACCTGGAACTTCAAAAAGCCCTGAGATGACATCATCTTAATGATGAGATTCCTAGGACTTGCAGTTGGATGTGAGAAGGATAACAATAAGAAAAAGAGAAGAAACACAGAGAGGCACGGAAGCCCCAAATCACTTTAGAGGTTCTCATGGGTCAACTCAATACCTACCAAGATGGAGAATAAAATAATATGGTACTCTGTAGGGACAGTGCTTTAGGTAACTTGTTATTTCCAAAATATATCCGATGAACGAATCCCCATGGCCCAAGGCATAAAACCAAGGAATGGTATGCAACAGCATGAAAGTAAGGAAAGCGCAAGTAGTTTATAGTTATTTGTGATAAATTCAGAAGCAGAAGTGGCAGCAGACAAGATGTCCATGGTCATGAAAACCTTGGATACGGCCTGGCTAAGACATTTGAAATTTTTCCAATCCAGCATTGATTCTCAACCCTAGCCACATACTACAACAACAGCCTGCACAGCTTAAAAGAAATAATGATTTTCATCTACCCCTTCCCTCCTGAGATCTCATTTAACATACAACACTGTTAACAGTGGAAGAACAAAATGATCTGGATAAAAATAAAGGCGAAAACATCCGATGTTTCCAAATTCCAGAGGAGAAATAATGAGAGCCTCAACTGGGGCAGTAATAATGAGGAAGGAGAAATATTGAAGAATTAGGAAAGTATTTAGGAGATGAATTGAATGAAATAGATAAACGAGATAAAAGAGTCTACGATGACTCCTAGATTTTCTATTTGGGTGAAGGAAGGACGGTGCTACATTTCACTGAAGGAGAAAACAGGAGAGAGGGTAGGTTGGTGTTTTCTGAGGGGAGGTGAGAACAGAGATGATGACCTCAGCTTCATATATCTTTAGCTTGAGGTACTCGCAGGAATTCAGATGGAGATGCCTTAGAGATATCATGATGGGCTGATGGCAATTTGAATCTTGGGAAACTGTGTCTTACTGTGCTAAACAAGAGTGGTTACATTCTGCGTGATTTGCCAATGTTACAGGTCACATGGGGAGGAGGACACTCAAAAAATATCCGTGGGTTGGAATAAGTAGCAGAAGTTGCTCTTTCTAGAGCAAGCTTCATTCCTTTCTTATACATCTGTCAAATCCATCTGTGAGAGCCCCAGTGCCCACAAAGATGGAAGGAGAGGTGCTGGAATGTAGATGCAAAAAGCAGGGAGGAAGGAGGCTGTTTTGGAACAACAGGTCACAGCTGCAGAACCAGATCATATTACCACACCTTCCCTCACATCTACACAACCTCATCAGCTGAACAATGCTTACCATCTGTTCTCACAATTAGAGTCTTTTCTTCTAGAGTGACTTTTTTTTCCTACCTAGTTATATTTTGCTTGCATATGGAACATAAGAATCAAAGTTAAAGAGAAAAAGTGTCTTTGACAGAGAAGACCTCTAGGGAGAGAGCCCAAGATTTCTGATGAAAAAAACAGAAAGCATTTCCAGTCTGGCTGGCAAATTTGTGTTTGTAAAAAAAAAAAAAAAAAATCAGACATCCCACAGATCTAAAACAAGTTAAGGTAAATCAATTCTACGCCAGGGCTGTGTCCAAGGTAATCACTCCTTGGGCCTCACTGTTCTTGTTTCTTAAATGAGATCTCAGAAACAGTCTTCCCTATCTTAGAGTCTTGAAGTAGAGATCAAAGGGGAAAATAAGCATTCAAATACATAAACTACTTTTGTAAATGGTGTATTCCTTCAAGGCTACATCTTGGTATCCAAGAATCCAACCTAATTTTAGTTCATTTCTGTAGTTATATTGTGATTTCTGCTATTAAATTACACATATAAGATTGGACTACCTA